AAGACCGGAAATCTGGCACCAGAGGGCATCTTGAAAAAAAAACTAGAATTCTAGAAAATTTTTCACATTGAAGCTCACCTAATAAATCGCTGAAAACGAATCGTTCTCTTTTGAATTCGCACGTTGAGCACACAACAAGTTCTTTGGCAGATTTTACCAGCAGTCCTTCCTTGCTACGTTTCTTGGAATATCCACCTCTTTGTGGGATTTTGAAGGCGCTGGGATTTCAAGTGGTTACTGGGTTAATTGGTTTTGGGGTGAAAGCTTTGGATTTGGTCGTAAGTCCCCGTGTTTGTAAGCCAACCACACAGAATTTTCTGGAAACGAAGTCTACGCCATTTTGTTGGTTTGTCGTGTGAAGCATAGAGCACGTTTTGTTCAACTAGAAGCCCAAATTGTAACCAGGTAATTTTAAACGTTTTTATCATTCTCAAATTTACCTTTTCGTTATCAATATTTAGATTAACTTCTCTGTATTTTTGTAAATATTTGGGATTCAATAAGAAAGGGAATTTGACCTCCACGAGGCCATGTTCAGTAAAAAAACTCATTAATCGTTTTTCAAAAGGGGCCTTGTTAATTAAGGTTTTTTTTTTATAAAGTCAAGGGGTTTCAGGGGATTTTGCTATTTTAATTATTTAATTCCAATCATTTATATACCATTTGAGGGTTGGGATTTTTCATTTTTATAAGTATGAAGGAGTTAAGGAGTTCCAAGAATTTGTGCTCTTTCAGGGTTTTTTAGGATTTTTAGTTTGGATTTTACCTTTACCATTGGGTTTTCCTCTTTGACGGTTTACTAATCTCGAAGTTGAGGTGTCAAGAGTGCCCACAACTCTGAATTGAAACTGAAATTCACATTTTTAAGAAGGGAGTCAATAGAAGTTAATGGGGTCTGTTATCCAGGCTGTAAGGCTGTCAGGAGACAGATATAGAAATGGGTGTTTTGACTGCAGAGAGGACCAAAAAGGGGTGATGTACCCGTAAATTCATTAATATTTCTCAATTATTATTTTAAATTATTATTAATGGTATTTCTTATATTTACTTGGCATAGTTCCAAGGTTGTTTTACTGCCTTAATTATTACAATGGGTGTACAGTACCAATGATTTTTAATGTACTATATTTAAGGTGACATTTTTGTACAAACCCGCCCCGGTATACCATGGTATAAGCGTGCACAGGTTTTAATTGATATTATTAACATCTTGATTAATCTTTTGATCCCTTAATTGTTCTCTTGCACTCTCATTGGAGTAAGGTGGTCAAACATTTTATTGGTAAAGCTTAAATTTATTGCAGTCTTTATTAAGGCCACATTGGTCCTTACTACATTTTGGTAATTCTGACATTTACTTTTAATAATAATATATACAGTGGTATTTTACATATTGCCTTGTATTGGCCTTTGCAATTCTAAACATACCCCCCCCCCATTTTATTAAATAGATTTATAATAATTGTTTTTAGTTTTGACTCTTATTTTACCCCTACTGATCTCAACCAAACTCAGGTAAAGTTATTTTAAAGGATAGGTACATTGGGTAGGTACATTTTTTATAGGAATTTTCGAAATCAGGGACTTTCTGGTTTAAGTCTGCGGATTGTATTTTGTAAACCAGTGGCGCCCTATTAAGCTAACTTTAAATATTGAACCTACTCCCACACCACTGAGTAGCAAGCACTTTGTTGCGCTGGCCGCATTCCTTAAAAGTGTCTTACTGTACCTAGGCCTATTAGGGTTTATTACTTCAAATTCTTCATTCAAACAGTTTAAGGGTTAATTTTGTGCGCAACACATATTTTCCAGGTCACTGTTTAAAATATTTATAATTTAAAGGTAGCAACCTTGTCGCAACATGCATGGCGATTTCAAACACCGAAGTAACTACAAGAGATCTGATTAAAATAATGTCGGCGAAGCAATGACTGCCAATTTCTTCTTCGAAACATTTTGAGAAAATCGAAAGATAGGACGCAACGCCGAACTAACTTCTATGACCTACCTATGTAAGCCCCACAATCACAAAAATAAAACAGGATATTTGGCCGCTGGAGACGTGATTTTGCTTGCGCATAACGCATAACTAGGTATATTACAATCCGTAAGTGCATATGGCACTGATTTACATTCCGTACGCGCGTATGGCACTCGAAGTTTAGTTGGTTTAAATTTTAAATCTCACCAATGGGATTGTGCTAGGTGCCATATACATTTACGGAATGAATAAATGCTACCCGGTGAGTCGCTTACCCCCCTGTTCCGAATTCAAGAAAACCTGGGGTCAGTTGCTAACCCCCCTGTTCCATGTTCTCCGGGTACCCAATTATGGTCCTAGTGCGACTGTTAATTGAGAAGTAAGCGGTATTTTAATTGAGAACATTAAAATTTCAATATCAAAAATAACATTTAGATCAGAAAAAGAAAAATACTTACTTATATATATCTTCATCATTTCTTAAACTGGCTGGAAAAGTTAAATCCAGCTTAACGTTGAGAAGTTAATTTCTCAAATCTCTAGGATTACATTTGGGTGAATAACATTTTGCTTGGCAAAAATTCTTGAAGAAATTATCAAATCATATTCTTCAGTTAATTTAGTTATCATATGTAATAATAAATTAATATGTTCAGTTACTGGAGTCACATACGAAATCTTGGTCAATTGTGTTCTATCTTGGTCATTGAATTTATTCAATTTCTCGAAATTGTTATTCAATTTTTCTTCATTTAATTTTAAAGAAACAAGCAATGCAGAAGACATTACTCTTACTTGTTGTTGTATTAATATCCGAGTCTCGTGATTTTTTATTTCCCAAAAAATTAATTGCGTCATAATCATAATCGCATCGTCGGCATCTGGTGTACCGAACAACCATTTAAATGCAGTCGAAACTCCGTTTATTAAACCTCTGCGTTTACGTTTGGTTTCAAATATATGAGCGACTAAATGAATAATTCTTTTCTAATGTTTTAATTTGAGCATCAAACAAGGCGAGCGAATCCGTGCAATAGAAATTATGAACGCATATTTTATTATTTCCAAGATTGGAATCATGACATATATGTTTTGTAATTTTGCATATATCTTTTACACAACTTGGAATTTATGAATGGAAAAGGAAATATTTGGAAACGAAAGGAGGGTAAAATAATCATCGTATAATTAAACGGTGCCTAAAGATTGTTTAAAGATGCCTGCTTGGTTATTAATGGGTGTTATTTGATAAGCCTGCTCCACCGTGTGCGATAGGTGGGCGCGACACATCGTAATTATGAGAAGAGCACGTAGCGTGTAATGTATCAGCTCCATTTTTGTCTGAAACAAATGGTTTTAATAAGTCCTTGTGATACGAAACTAGCTTAGTTTTATTTTTAAGAGAACCGAATTATTCGAGATTATTTTTGTTATTTTATATGGTCCCTAATAATTCGGAGAATTTTTTTTACTGATTCCAGACCTTGAGGCTTTATCTAGGACATAAACTTGGTCGCCTACAGAAAAATTAAAATCATTAATTTTTTTATCGGAGTAGGTTTTGGATTTCATTTTAGAATTGGTTATGTTTTCTCTAGCAATTTGAAACGATCTATTTAATCTCAACTGAAGTTGTTTGTTATAGGTATTATACGTGTAGTGGAATTCGGGGTCTTTTGTTATTTTATTGGGTAATGTTGCCTTATGGCCAAACGCTAACTCATATGGTGTAAATTGAGTAGTTGAATGAACTAGAGTGTTATACGAAAACATGGCAGTTTGAATAAATTCGTCCCAATTGTCTTGACTTTTATTGGTAAAATACTTTAAATAATCTTTTAGCGTAGAATGAGAGCGTTCTAAGGCTCCGCGCCATTACTTTTAGGTCTATAAACTGACGTAGTAATATGTCTTATTTTAAAAAGACTATTAACTTCTTTAAGTAGATTGGACGTAAACTCAGTTCCATTGTCTGTCACAATAGTTTTTGGTAATCCAAAAATTAGAATAAATTCACAGAGCTTGTCAGCGATGGTTTTTGACTCATGATTGGGAATTGCGAATGGGTATAAAAATTTGGAAAGGTCTTCCTGTAGTGTTGAAATAAATTTATTTCCTGCTTCTGTTACTGGTAGAGGTCCAACAATATCTAATAAGATTTTTTCAAATGGAAAATTAGACGTAGGAGTAACTTGCATTGGCGCTTTAATTGGATGACGATTTACTTTATTTTCTTGACACTTGATACAACCTTTTATGAACGTTCTGTTATCTTTTCTCATACTTGGCCATTTATAAACTTCCCTAATTCGTCGATAAGTTTTGTTAAATCCGGGATGACCAGTAAGAAAGGTAGAATGATTTTCTTCCAAAATTTCGGCAATTCCTTGTTTCGTATCCGGTTACATTTTATCTGAGTCTACCAGAATGATTTTTTTAATTATTATCGAATACGTAGAAAATTATTTTTTGAGTAAAGAGTAGTCACCTTTAAGTTTTGAAGAGCGTAAAATATATCCTTAGAAAATGGTTCATCAAAATGATTTAAATGAGTTCTTAGGACATTAAAAGACAGTATAGGCACATGTAATTGTTATTGATTTAATTTTTATTGTTATTATATACGATTTGCATGAGATACGCCTCTACGTGTTGCTAATATTAAAGTATATCCCTTTAATTTTACAAGATACGCCATTTTAATTTAAGATGTGAATGCTCTAAAATTCGAACTTTGGTACAAAATAATTGAATGTTTATTTTCAAACTAATTTATTTTTTATAATTTGGCGAACGCAGCTTGGTTAGGGTAGATGAAAATATTTGAAGACCAAATCAAAGTAATTTTAACACTAAAAACAAAGATGCAAACAAAATATGTACCTAATAATATCGTGCTTAGCCAAAATACCAAAGATAGCCATTCAAAAATTTATGAAAGTATAAGTTACAAAAAATATAAACCTGAAAAATAATTTTTACCTGTAACTAAGTATTAGCTAAACCTAAACAAAAATATTTAATTTAAATAGTTCTTCCTGATTTCAAATTCTACCATCTCCGTCCGTTTGAAAGCTTTTCCATCATCATCGATTCGGATAGAGCGGACTCTCAGGTTTTCACCAAATGCTTTGAAGTCCAAGAAATCATTGAAATCTAAGGGGTACTCTTCATAGGGTTTCGCTTTTCTTGCAAGTCGAAAGACTGGTATAAGTTGCGATGGTACAAACCATTCACCGGCCTTTTTGATCGCGTACGAAATAGCACTATGAGTCGAGTCTCCTTCACTTTGTCCATGATTAGTGGTAAAAAGGCGAAGGCTTATTTCTTGTACGTGCTTCAATTGCGAAATAATGTACAAAAGAGCTCCTGCCACAGTATGGAATTCCGGTTTTGTCCTCCACAGCCATCTGCACATAATTCAGCAGAACATACTTTTTTTTTCATCATATTTTTGCAGCGTTTCAAATAGTGCTGTCGCTATTTCAGAGCCACCTCGTCCACTATCACACTCGTTCCACATAAAGCAATAGCAAACTCGAGAAACTATGTTATGGAACGTTAAATTGTAGACAGCAAACCTTCTTTTGTAGAAAATAGCACCGTGGTTTGATGCAGGCAAGTAAATTACCTGTTGAAGGTCAAAAGACAAACAAAGCAACTTGGGATTATTTTGAGCTGCAATCTTTTTTTTTTTTTTGAGATCCCGCACAGCGTTTCTGAATTTTGTGTAATCCTCAAAAATATCTTGTAGTGTCAACTCTGTTTCCTTTGATCCTTCGTAAAAAGTTTTGCATAAACCTAAACCACATTGTTTTTTTTTCGGCCTCTGAAACGAGAGATTCATGCCTTTAAAAACATTGCGATATGTTGTAAAACACGGTTTTTCAGCGTTGAGACACAACTCTTCTACCATCATTGAGTACATTCTTTTTAAAGTCAAGTCGCGACGTCGCGATCTTGCCTTAGCCGTTGTACTAGACTTCTTTGGCACTTGTTCAACGTATCGCACAATAAATTCTCGTTGATGTTGCAAGTCACTCAATCTATAAAAATCTGTGAATATCGCCTGCCTACATTTTTACTAAACGCAGCACAGAATCTTCCGCCTTGTTTGCACCAGTTTGTATTGCCCCTAGGACCCAATACTCTCTTTTTAACAGTTTTTTTTTGAACCCGCCGAAAAATATTCTTGACCTGCGTCGTAAAGCTTGAGCAACTTTCTTTTTGTTTATCTTGATTACTTTCTCTTCATCGCATTCTCTTGCAGCACCTTCTATTTCAAAATCTTCAGGCTTTCCCAACTTTTTATCTGTATTTATTCCTTTGGTACGTAGTCGTTCCTTACGCGAATTTTTCATAGAGTCATCACTGTCGTTGAGGCGATGTGTATCACAATAGGCCCCTTGCATCAAATTTTTTTATTGCTGATTTCGATAGTCCATGAAGAATAAGTCAACACGTGTTTTTTCTTTTTCTTCTTAGTCAAAAATTGACGGAGATACAACGCTATGAAATATGCCTATGACGTCATCAGGTATAATACTTTATGACGTCGCACATGCTCAGTATATCTATATATACAAAACTTAATATTTGTATAACTTCCGAAATCATCATATTTGGGCGAAATGAAAAAAAAGTAACGATTTTTTTACGATTTCCTACAGTTTGCAATAAACAATAATCAATTTAATTTTCCATGCAAGTACCCTATTAGCTAGGTCTTCCCTGAAATGGTTCCAGCACAAAAGGATTGAGCATCGAAAACAAGAACTCCACACCTCATCTAGGCATCTTGGGACTTCGCAGGTCTGAACAGTGTGGCTTGACCGAACTCCGCTTCGCGTCGTTCGGTCAACTGCCGTTGCGTGCGGTAAAGTATCACTTTGCGCATTTGTTAGGTAAATAACTATTATTTGTCACTCATTTGTCAAAACAACGAAAATTGATTTTCACAAGCAACTGGCTCTACTGTCTTGGGAAACTAACAGCTAAACTCTACAACTCAGTAGAATTATTTATTTTTAAAAAATCAGTTTTATCACAAGAACAATTTGCTTGTAGGTGCCTTTTGAAACACTTCTGGTGATAAACTGTTAGCTACGGTTGCGGCATCATTAATTATATCTTCTGACACATTCACTTCTGAAAAAAATTGCACATTTGGAGAGGAAGGCGGGTCTTGTTTACACCACTGACACAGATCACCTAATACAGATGCGTAAGTACGTATACTTGCTGTCGACAATATTCTGTGACGAAGCCGGGCCGCCAGCGGCCCCACGCATAGATAAAGATCGCCCGCGTCAGGACAATTAACGTGGCCGAGTGCGTGAGCATGTTCCAGCCTGTGTGTTTACATATTTTTGCGGGTAAAAAAAAATATTTTTTTGCTATTTGTGAACCAATTATAGAAATAATATTATATTATTGAGCTTCCGCATTTATATAATAAATATGTTCAAAATACATTGATGTGGCATTGGTGCGGCCAGCCTATGTCTATCAAATTAATCTTGAACCACGAATTCGCCGCTCTTTCGCATCTGTATGTAAGTAATCTGTGCCACTGATGCATCCCCACCATGACCCTCAAACGAGCAGCTCACCTCCCATGGCCCATTGGTGGGTTTTTTCATCTAACAAATATCACTTTATGAATGAGATGCGGTGTCTATCTGTGTCAAAGATATGATGGCTAGCGAGCTTAGCTTCAAGAGATCTTGAAGGTGACAAACTTACCTGGCTAATAATGTAAAATACCATTAATCTTATCAACTACTAGCATAATTACGGTAGCACTAACAACTGGTTAACCCTTCACCGTCTTCCTTCGCATCTTGCGAACAGACAGGAATCGTCACGCAACATTTGACATACGACTTCATAAATAAAGGAATCTACTTCCCTAATTTGTTACGAAGAGGCATAAGTCGAGATAGGCCTTTAAGTTCGTTTAAGTATAATATAAACTGCTGGACAATTGCTTTCGAACAAGGTAAAAATCGCCTAACTTTCAAGCTCGATATTTTTGGAACCAGATTAGATATCGACCTGCGGTTTTCACGGGCTGACAGATTGACTTTTTGTGAAAAAAATTGCTATTTTGAAATTTTTTTAAATGTCTACTTTTTTTATACAGGGTGTTAAAAGAGTCCATGTTTTTCATCCCAATTTTGAATGTGTGTAACTTTCTCAGATAAAATTTTTTAATTTTAATTTCTATGCGGAGTTTTAATCAATGATCTTCTGCCAAAAAAGTAATTTCTCAAATTTTTTATACCTGCCTTAGTTTTAAAAATATCGACTTTTTTTCATAACCTCCACTTTTTTCAACTTTTAAGCACCTAAACCATCCTGTACAATAAATCTTGCATCTTATGCTGCTGTTTGATATACCCCAAGATATCCTGGTTTATTTTCAATGAAAAAAAATTACTTAAATAATGTGGTGTCCAGTAGCGTACTAATAATCGCCCATTTTTGGAATAATTTATTAATGGCTCACCGAATTTTACATTCAAAGGTGCATAATTTTAAAAATAATCATTTGAAGTTTCATTTGTTTAGTTCACTTTAATCATTGACATATTATTAAGAAACCAATTTCTCAAAATTTTGATATTTGCCTTTGTTTTTAAAATATCATTTATTTAACATAACCATATTAATTTTTTCGATTTTTCCGTTCTAAACCATCCTGAATCGTTCTCACCGGTGAATTTTTTTAGCATTTGTTATACCTTTCAGCCAGCGTATTCACTATGATTAAAAATATCGAATACCTCAATGATGTGCTGTACAGTGGCGTGCAAAGAGAAATTATTATTTTTCAATAAATCAATTTTATTAGCAATTGTTATATCTTTCGATTAGCCTATTTTTATTATTAAAAATTTCGAATACCTCAATGATAGCTATACAGTGGCGTGCTAATAATTATTTATACCACTGATAAAATTTAAATATTCGGAACCGATTTCGTTGTGGTGAGAGGAAACCCGAATTTTTATTACCTGCTAATTTTCTTTGTAGCTTCATGTTTAAAGGTATTTCAATTAAAAATTCTTCCACTGATGGTAGCAATATCACAAAATAAAGTTAAGGATGGTAAATTACATTATCTACCAAACAAAAAATTATATGAACAACGTTAATGCTTCTTTAAGTTGATTTAAAACAAAACACAAAAAGTGTTCCTATAGGTTTTTTACGTTATATTTAGGATGATGTCGTAGAACAAGGACTGACAATGTTGTCAATGCCTTTTTTTTTCCTTATAATTTACCAGAATGTAATAATAAATTATCAAGACCACCGACAGCTAGAAATAACAAAATGAATCGACACGTGTTATTTATTTGAAAATGTTTTTTCCTACGAGCGTGCGGAAAGCGCGTTTTCACGCACTGATTTGCGTGCGGAAAGTACCAATTTTCCGCACTGCGTGCGTGAAAAAAAAATTACGGCAAGGCGTGCGCGAAATAGCTATTTACCTAACAAGTGCGGAAAATGAATTTTTCCACACGCGAGTGCGGAAAAATATTTTCCGCAAGTGTTAGGTACAATATTTTTCCTACAGGCGTAAAAATGTAAAATTTTTCTTTTTTTTTACATATCATTGCGCCGTTGTCAACCGATAACATCTGAAATTCCCCTACTTTAAATGCGTTAAGAAGTACTTTCAGTTTAGTTAGGTAGATACCTAGGTAAAACGTATCAAAACAAGTGAACTAAAAAACTAATCAAAGTAAGATTCAATAACAACAACAGAGTGACCTAAAAGTAAAGTAATAAATAACGTGAACTAAAAAAATAATAAAGAACGGCTGATAATCAAAGTTATTTAATTAATAGCTAGTAAGCCCTCCCCTCACATTCACAACCTCTTGGCATCGCCGTGGCATGTTCTCAACCAAGAGATTAATGAATGCCTGAGGGATATTTTGCCACTCTTCTTCTATGGCAAGTGCGAACTCATCCAGCGTTGGAGAGCATTTTCGCGCGATCATACCAGTAACTTAAGCTGAGACCAAACAAGATCAGGAGATTTTGGAGGCAGGTGTAACTGTTGCATGTTATGGTCTCCCAAAAGCTCCTAAATAATTCTTGCTTTGTGTGGTCCCGCATTATCGTCAACCATGATGAAATGCTCCCCAATATTTTCTGCATATGGAATAACAATGTCATTTATTATGTGATTCCGATAAATTACGGCGTTAACAGTAATCCGTGAAATGTATAAGTCGGATCTATCGTTGTACATCACTCCGGCCCAAACATTAAACCCTCCTCCTCCAAAGGTTTCCTGAGAAGCCATGTTGTCTTCTTCAAATTGCTCCGCAGGTTGCCTCCATACTAACACCCTACCATTGGAGTGTAACAGGTTGAACCGCGTTTCGTAACAAAAAAAAAACAATTCCGATATTCGTCATTCCATGCCAATTTATCGGTGGCTCATTTGACACCAAGTCTTCTATGGTTTGGCAAAAGGTGAACACATTTTGCTCGCGCTAGCATTCTTCTAACGGTCCTATTAAACGCCACTATACCAGTGTGCCTTCTTAGGTTATCATTCAAAACACTAGAGCACGAAGTTCGGTTATTGTGAACCTCTCTTAATAGAGTTCATGCTGCTTATCCCTCAATTTTCCTAGGGGCCCCACCTCTGTGCACATAGCGGACATGACCGTTCAGGCGAAAAAGCTGTTTTAGGTAATTTAAGGTGCTGCCGCTTACCGAATATATTCGCGCTACACGTCTTTAGCTTAACTCTTCATTTAAAAGGCGAATAAGCTAATTATTCCTTTCATTTTCTGTTAACCAAGGCATTACATAAGTGGCGAAAGTGTTTATTTTGCGACGAAACGCGGTTCAACCTGATGACACTCCGATGGTAGGGTGTTAGTATGGAGGCAACCTGGGGGGCGATTTGAAGAAGACAACATGGCTTCTCAGGAAACCTTTGGAGGAGGAGGGTTTAATGTTTGGGCCGGAGTGATGTACAACGATAGATCCGACTTATACATTTCACGGGGTAGTGTTAACGCCGTAATTTATCGGAATCACATAATAAATGACATATGCAGAAAATATTGGGGAGCATTTCTTCATGGTTGAACATAATGCGAGACCACACAAAGCAAGAATTGTTTAGAAGCTTTTGGGGGCCCATAACATGCAGCAGTTACACCTACCTCCAAAATCTCCTGATCTTGTGTGGTCTCAGCTTAAGTTACTGGTATGATCGCGCGAAAATGCTCCCAAACGCTGGATAAGTTCGCACTTACCATAGAAGAAGAGTGGCAA